AAGAAATCACTCATCTGAGCAACCACACACCTGCTTGGCTAACCCTGACTCTGTTACTTGGCATTACATGGGGTTTATTCTTTCCCCTGTGGTGCTGCACTATTCTTGTCGCTCTCAATATCAAAGTGGAGCTAGGTTTGCTATCTCACTCTCACTATCTCTAGTCCACTCTCAGCTTGTTTGGCAGTAAACGTTTTTACACAACAGAGGAGGGGAGCAGTTCACCCTTGGTCTCATTCTCTCAAGGCCCGGCCCCAAGTCTTCAGTGGAAGGAGCAGGGATAAAATGTCAGTCCCAGACACAAATGACATGGACAGATATGTGAACGCAGGGCCAGGATCTGGACTGTGTTTTCTTTGTACATCTGGATTCTTGGAGCAGCTACAGTATGTGTGTTTTGGTCTGAGGGTCAAATAAGGGTCCTCCAACCAAACTGTATAAACACAAGGAAGTATTGACTACTTTATTGTATGATTGGTAATTATTATTTATGAACGGGATCAAGGAATGATTTAAATGACGTGCTAAATTACCATAATGTAGAGATTTAGGATAGCAGTATTACACATTTGTATGAGTCTATGTTGCGCTTTTAAAGTATGTGACTGTATATACGTATTTTATATTTATTTATCAATTTATTGACATATTAAATTAAATTGTGTGTAACATCATAAATGCTGTAACTATTAATGTAATGTAGTGTTCTCAACTGGTGTGGCTTTAAGATATTAGAATTTGCTATGCCCTAAATAAGAATCAATATACAAAAACAGTTGCAGATGACTTTTATAGAATAGTATCGTTTCAAAACAGTAACATGGGATGGGCTGAACACTCAGGGGAGCACCTCTCTTTTGTTGTTTCTGAGAAGTGTCTTTAGAAAGATACAATAGTAAATCCAACATCTTGAGAAAAGTTTTTGATTTTCTATCAGCTGTCATCTCCCCAAAAGCTGTGACAACATTCCATAATTCCTCATAAGCATGATGTAACCCTGTGTGTCAGCCATACCACCCATGTGCTCAAATGAGGTTTTACAAGTCTGAAATTGAGAATTGGCGTTAAAGCTTGATGCGTTCACTTGTATTGAAGAGCGTATGAGAACACAGGGAGTGATCGTCACGGCGAAGTCTCTGTGGGATTGTAAAGCACAAAGCCAGCAGGTGGAGTTGTTGTTGACGTAACAGAGCATGACAACGATGCTGAAATTCAATCAACATTTTTGCTCTGACACAACAAATGAATGCAGCGTTGTGAAATATTATGACTCTGATGAAATGTTATGCTATTGTTTACTTTATAATGATTGGGGCATTGTAAGTGAATGTGAACCAGAGCTTTTTGACTGGCTACACGTGCTAGACCTCATGTAACCTGATCTGTCTACTGGCCTGCATCACACTGAGGAAGAATAGTAGCAAAGAGTCTGGGGTAACAACTCAACACAATGATGGAAACCATGATAGTTACTATTTTAATTCGCTTTTGAAAGTTTGTGTGATAGAGGCGTTTTGGGAACAGGATACTTTCACAGCTGCAGTTTGTTCATCTATATTGTGTCTACATTTTTTGGAATGATTCATTAATGATTTTGATTATTATATGCTCCTTCACTGACCTTTAAAAAAAACTGTAAGAAGCACCTTAGATCCATTTGACACACAAGGTATTCACCAGTGAAAAATGAGCCCATGTGGATTTGTACTAATAGAACACCCACTGCTTATCTCAGTCCTCTGTGAATCATGAAAATATAGATTTAATAATAATAATAATAATAATAATAATAATAATAATAATAATAATAATAATAATAATACTTTTATATAGCACCTTGCAAGACACCCAAAGGCGCTTGACAATGAATGATTCACACCACATAAGCTACTACTGTAACTACAGCTGCCCTGGTGGTAAGCTAGATGGGTGAACAGCCTTGCTTAAGGACACAGATCTGCATCACTATTGTAAGCCTGCCCTTGAGCCTTATGGAACTGTACATTGACCAGTTAATTAGAAGATCCATACATATAACTTTATTTTCTGATCTATGTTATAATGTTTCCTCATTAAAAACATACCTGGTTGTGTTGTGTTTTGTTTCATTCACACACAAACCCTGCACATTTAAGCTAAGTTGTGCTCTCAAACAGGAAACACTCTGTTCCACCTTGTGGTAATACAGGAAGTGCTCCACTGTGTTTTTAAGATCCATACTCCTTCACTAGAATCATGTGGATAATTTTAGCCCTTAGATTGCCTGTCTCTACTAAACTCAATGTACAGGGCTGGAACAGAGCATTTTGAGCTTTGGAGATGTAGACAGCCCAATAAAGCAGGATTACTCAAACATGTGTGAATGAAACAAAACACCACTCTGTGTATGGTTTTGATGAGGTAACAACATTCTAACATGGCTAAAAGCTCACAAGAGGATTTTGCATAATATGGAACCTTTAAATAAATTAAATGAAAAAAGTAATAGTGCTATTACAAATTTGGCAATGGGAATGCAGACACAGTTGACCATAGATGGACCAACATGCACTGTAACACAAATCTGTCTTTTGCTTCAAATGCTGTGACCATTTGGCAGGTCGGTAAGCGCTTCATGCGCCTAAAGGCATCTCCTCACACCACATCAGTTGTGCTCACATCCACATTTCCTCACACAGCTCAGACTGGGCAGCAGGCTGTCAGACTTGGATGAAAGAGGCTCTGTCACTGAAACCCCCCTCCCCCTGCTCCCCAGTGCTCCCGCTGCTCCCCCCTGCTCCCCCCACCATTAACATATGTCCTCTGAGTGGGCACACAGACTGACACACTGCTCCCTGTCAACACAGCTGTGATGTGTACAAGGCAGTAGTGCTGGGATTTCAGAGTCCGTTCCACTGTACTGAATTCTTCTGATAAGATCCAAATGTAATGTGTCTATGATAGTTGCTGCAAAGTACAAAGGCTGGATGGATTTTGCTTTTGTGGCAGAGGCAATGACACCAACTTCACCCATGAGGACCCAGTATAGGTGTACTCAATAAATACTCAGTATATGTCACTTTGCTTATAACCAGAAGATTTGTGGTTCGATCCGTCACGCCAGTGCCTAGGGTATGCATGTGGTTCTGTGCATATGTATGAATGTGATGAGAGAATGAGTGATTGTGGTTGTTGGATGGTCCTCAGCTGTGGATACAGGCCCTGTCAGCCTACCACCAAGTGTGAAGAGTGAATCATCTGAAGTAGATATTTAGTATCTAAATATAGAGCTGTATACAAGGAATGTCTTTTTATCATTTTGCAGAGGAGGTCTCGGAATATTTATCAAATCAAATCATCAAAAAGTTGATTCATGAACTGTCAACTAAAATGTCTGTGAATGTTGATGGCATTGCAAGTCTATTAAAACGCAGCTCAAACTGTCAGTATCTAATTAAGTGATTCTTTGGAGCAGTCCAGGAACTGAAGATTTATAAACCAAGTTCTTACTGTACCACGTCCAAACCCAAATAAACACATACAAATCAATTCTAAATCAATGAGCAAATTAAGTCCGTAGAAGTGCTAACTCCGCCCACCAGGGGGCAACCATACACACTATCTCATCTATTTTCCACAGATGAGGTTTGCAGAAAGGATTCGTGCAGCGTTTTCTCACACTTTTGGACATGCCATACTGTCTGGATAAGCCCACTGAATTTGTTCACTTGGCATTCGGCCCCCACTTGCCCCTCTCCCTCCCTCTCCCTGCCAATCAGAGTCCTTGTATTTGTCCAGAAACAGCTGTGGAGCACAGCTAAGTGGTGCATGTGCTGCTAAACGCTCCCCTCAGGATGGGAGAGACTTCACGTGAGGCTGGGGAGCTCAGATCATCGTTTCCTGTGCAGCGGAGAGAGAGGCCAAGGGGACATAAGGCAGTTGCTGTTGCTGCACTGGCAGTGAATGGAGAGCAATAGAAGAAGACAGTCAGGACATAAAAATGATGCAACAACTGCTCTAAGTGGATACAGTGGAGTTATTATGTGTGGGACTCACATTACACGAATAAACACTTCTACAATTGAAAACAGCCATGAGCATTTCAAATCTCATTCTCCTTAACCCAGAGACACGCCACAGATACAGTACTGATAATGGCTTTAAAACAATAGGCCCTGCTGTTATCCAATGGAATTTAACATGCCTAAACCTCCCCATAACCTCGTGACAGTTACGGCCAGTTCAGTAAATGATGCAATATGTGCTTATTAAAAACACTTTTATCGCATTCGCCCTCAAAAAACTGACGGCCTTATTTTATCAAGTTATTCGGATTACATTTATTGCTTACAGTTCACAAAGCAAATTCCTTATTAGCTTTCAACTTTCAACAACTGATTCTTATCAATGCCATAAGCTAAGCAAGGCCGAGCCTGGTTAATACTTTCCATTTATTATTCATGTAAAGCACTTGGTGATTTTTATCTGTAAAAAATGCTATACAAATAAAACTGTATTACTTACTTACTTATCATACTTACTTACTTTCTTACTTACTTACCGTACTTACTCACCTACTTGTGAGTGAGAAACCGCAGGGGGCTCGGTTCTTTCAGTCTAACCTAGGGCAACCACCAAATATAGAGTGAAAGAATAACACTGTAGTGCCTTGGAGTATCCATAAAGCGCTATATAAAACTATTATACTGTTATTGATCAGCGTAACACAACTAGAAAAAGAGGAGTGTCTATATAAATATAAATCTGAAGTAGCCTATTAAATACTTAGATATAAATATATTCGATTGTGCTGATACCAAGGCCATAAAGAGTGATTAAATGGCATCAGGAACAGGAGTATAGTTGATGTAAATGTATGAGTAAAAAGTGGAATACAGATGACCAGATGAATAACTTTCCATAAACTTGAAATCTGTTTTGTAAGTGTGTCGGATCTGAATCGCTTTGTATATTTTTCCTATGATGATGATCAATAAATATCTTATCTTCTTTTCCCACAGAAACCACTGTGCCTATGTGGTCCAGAAAAACATCACATGTATCATGCAGGATGGAGCCATCCCTTTTGTGAAGGCCGAGTACACCACCAAGTGCATCTGGGGCCAGAAGTGTCCCGTGGTTATGTAAGTGTTTCAATAAAAGATGATTTGGGGTTAAGGGGTGAGTCAGCGAGAGAAAGAACCTTCACTTATGATACTGCTTTTGAATGCTGCCCTCTAGTGGCCACATGAATAACTTTGAATGTTCAGTGTTCAGTATAATTCACTCTAATATTCAATTAAAGCATTTTAAATCAATTAAAGTATTGAACAGTGAAACCTTTTGCCAATATAGGAAGACGCAAAATTAACTGAAGGGGTACAATAGATTTTAAAGTGGGTTATTTGTCTGTTCATCAGAAGGCACGCTAGCAGAATCTGTTTGGATCAAACATGGTAAAGTGAAGTTTGCCACTGACCCGAGTCAATCCTCTGATACCACATCATTTACATTACCACCACCTTAATCTCATAATCTCCCTCTAATCTGGTCAATCCCATTGCCAACAACTTCATCCTTTTATTTCTGCTTCGCTAATCCCATCTTCCCTTCACCATCATTCGGATTCTGCACACAACCTTAGAAAAATCAAGTGTTTCATGTACTTTCTCCACAGTTCTATCTACTGCTATAAAAGGGTCTTTTTTAATAAATTAAATCATTAAAGGTCCCATACTACACTATTTTTGATCTATGACACAATGTTGTTACCTCATCAAAACCATACCTGGAGTTGTGTTTTGTTTAATTCAAACATGTTTAGCAGACAAACCTTGCATATTTAGTTCTTCTCTCAAACTGAAAACACCATTCCACCTTGTGATGTCATGTGATGTCATACAGGAAGTGTATTTTTTAAAGTCCACTGTGTTTTTAAACTCAAACATGTGTGAAAGAAACAAAACAAAAGTCCCGGTAGGTTTTTGAGGATATAAAAATATTATAACATTGCTTAAATGGTCACATTTTTTTATAGCACTTTTCCACCTTCAAGGCACTCAAAGCGCTTTACAACAAGGAACCACTCACCCATTCACACACACATTCACACACCAGTGTACGCAGACACTGTGGGTGGGTTAAGTGTCTTGCCCAAGGACACAATGACAGCATTCATCTGTGGGAGCTGGAGTCACACCAGCCAACCTGTGGGTCAGTGGATCTGACCGCTCAATCTGTGATGTTTATGTCAAGAGCTGGAATTGAACCACCAACCAGTGGGCGAATGCTCTACCAACTGAGCTACTGCCACCGCTTGAAGCTCATAGGAATCAATTTTGCATAATAGAACCTTGAAGAACTAATTGTACCATTTTTTTATTCCTTTTTTAATTCAGGTACAGGACCATATATAAGCCAAAGTACAAAGTGGGTTATAAAACAGTGACAGAGCTGGAGTGGAGGTGCTGTCCTGGATACTCTGGGGAGACCTGTGTGGAAGGTCCCACGTCTGAGCCCGGTGTGGCCGTGCCCCCGTTCAAAGGTGCAGCTCTGCCCCATCGCCCCAGAGTGAAAGGCTTCCCTCACGGCCCCCGCCGCCCAGAGGACCACAAACCCGGAGAGGGCCAGATCGAACCAGGCAGACCGCTTCCAAATGTGCCCGATTCAATGCCCATACCATCAGGACAACTGCCGGCGGGCACTGGAAAACCATTTGGTAAAGTCCAACTTATATTACCCTATTTCCTGATCTATGCTATTATGTTGTTTCCTCATCACAAACACACCTGGAGTTGTGTTTTGTTTCATTCACACATGTTTAACACACAAACCCTGCATATTTAAAGTTCTTCCCTCAAACAGAAAGGACTGCTCCATCTTCTAATGCCACATAGTAACACAGGAAGCGCTCCACTGTGTTTTTAAATTCCAGACACCTTAAGTAGAATCATTTCAGTAATTTAAGATTTGGAATTGTAAATTTCTACTGAACAAAGAGTAAAAGGTAGCTGTTAAATTGAGAACTTCCACTACATGACATCATAAGGTGGAACAGGGCATTTTGAGCTTTTATGAATATACACATAAACATTCTCTAACTAGAAGTCTGACTAAAAAAGTATTTAATCTGAAAAAAATTGAAATGATGATAAATTGACAACTACTACTTTTATTTTTATTTTTTTGCTACACTTTGTAACACATTTTTTCTATCTCTGTCTTCAAATAGGGAATACGTTTGGGGGATCTGGGGTGACAGGTGAGCGCTTGGACCGGATGGAGGCAGATCTGCGACGTCTCTCCCACAGTTTGGACACCCTGAACGGTATGGTGGCCGGACTAGAGGACCGTTTGAGGACTACACTCAGAGAAGACACCAACAAGATCATGGTGTCTCTGCTTCCAAATGTACCCCGGACCCCAGACTCTGGCGTGGGCTTTGGAGTGATCCCAGATGGCAGTCCGGATGGTTTGGAAGGCCAGGAGAGCTTTAATGGATTTGGAGACCTGGTAGGAAGAGTAACAGAAGTGAGGGATGAGCTGAGGGCCAAAACACACATCATAGAGGAGATCCAGGTAACATGAGTCAACCATGTCCTTTTGCACCCCATATTTTAAGTGATTATAAATACATTTTTCAAATATTAGGGAACAGTAGTTGTTCAATAATCTATTCAAATAGAGGTTAACAAAGAAACAACTCCTTCCAGTAAACACAGTAACCACAAATACACTATGTAACTGGATGGTCTCCATACAGATTTTGCTTTGTCTGAAGTGTTCCACAATATGGCATTAAACTTATCTCTATGGAGACAAACAGATGATGTCACCAGGCAAGGTATAGGTCAGATCTGTGGAGATCCAACCCCATACACTCTCAGTACAAATGCATGTTTTTCAGGTATGTTAACAACACCTTATCCAACTTATTGGAATAAATGCAAGAAATGTAAGTTTAATGCCACACTGTTTAGGCAAAGCAATAATTCAGTAATAATGGAGATGTGTAATTATTTTTGTGCATGTGAAATTAGTTGACTGATACATGTAACTTGAAATTTCCTTTTTTTTTATGAAACAAAACCTAAAATCTAATCTTATCTCAAACCATAGTAGACCTGTAATACCAGTCTACTCCTGTCTCTAGGGCATGGTCCTTGGTCACGATGGTCAACTGAAGAAGTTATTAGAAGGCCCCAGAGGACGGCCCATCGCAGGCTCTAACCTGAATGTGGAGGAGATCCTGAATCAGAAGCTGGCCGGGGTGCGCTCTGAGATCTTGGATGGTTTTGAGCGGCGTCTGACTAGTCTGGAGTCCCACTGTGACAAGAGGATCAGCGCCGTACAGCAGCAGTGTCACCAGGATCACATGAACGGACAGGAGCAGATGCAACAGTCTCTGGACGGACGAGAGACTGGTCTGAGGAAGGAGCTGGGGACACTGCAGGCACAGATCCAAGGACTGACACTCACAGAGAGCTGCTGCGGACAGGTATGGGTCTATGTGATGGACATTGTTTTGGGCAGTGATTTGACACTAAAGATATTCAGCTTGGCTATATACTGGAAACAGAATTTTGAAAACACTTACAGCCAGAATTAGTCCCTTTAGTCGCATTTCTTATCATAATGAATGAAGGATGAAGTTTAAAGAAGTCCACCCTTCCTTGATAAAATCCCCTCAATATTATTTGTACTGATAATATCTGTAGAAAATGGTAGCAAAATACACTTTTTAAATATAATTTTTCAAAATGGAGTTACTCATTATTGGAATAATATTTAGAAGTTGTTGTTTTTTTTAGATTAGAGCAATATTTCGAGAGTATTTCATAACACATTCACTGCAAAGCAATATGTGTTCAATAGCAAAAACAGATGTTGAAACATTGGCATAGTATTTGTATTTTTGTTATCTTAAACAGACATTATGATAGAAAAAAGTAGGAACGGAGTAATAAGTTGATTGCTGTAAAATACTTTCCTACACAAAGAGTAAACTGCAAATGCACTGAAGGCCTTTATAATATAAATAATCTGTTTATGCAAACAAACTCTATAGTAGATGCTTAAAAAGAAATGAATAAAGAAAATCATTTGTTATTCTGACAGGTGAACAGCCTCTCCCAGCGCATGCTCTTGCTGGAGGACTCTGTGAAGGACCTGACGGAGTCTCAGAGGCAGATGCAGAGGGCACTGCTGGATCACAGCATCGAGGTGGAGACCCTGATAGAGACCCGCTTCCTGGACATCGAGAACCGCTTCAACACCACCACAGAGGGCACCACCATCACCGCCGTGTCCGGGCTCCCCTCTCAGCTGGATGGCTTTAAGACCATGCTGGAGGACAAGCTGAAGACTCTGGAGGAGAGGGTGTTTGTGGCTGTGGGAGAACTCAGTAATGCCACCTCCCCTGCTTTGCTGGAGGGTCAGGTGATTCCCGCTCTGGAGATCGAATCTGTCAAAAGGCGATTTGAAGGTGAAATTGGTGGAATCCAAAAACAGCTCATAGACTTGGAGCTCCTGTGCACCTCATCTTGCGTTCCCTCTACCTCACCAGCAGGGGGCATTGACGGCAAGGGGGTAGAAGACTGTGAGGATGTGGAGAAAAAGATGAATGGTAGATTAGACAACCAATCCAGCCAACTGGATCAGCTAAACAATACATTACAGAATTTGCTTTTCAAGATTGCCCAAGAAGAACTAGAAGGATCAGTCAGTGGTGAGATTACATTACTTAAAGTCAACATTCATTCAGTAAACAAGACTCTGAGGGGGCTAAAAGACTCCCTAAGGTTTATTGCAAGTGAGGTTGGACACGCTAACGCTACCTGGGAACAGAGAGAGAACCAGCTCGTCAATCAGGTGCAAGGAATATCAAAAGTAGTGGGTTACCAAGCGTCTCTCCTAGGTGCTGGAGAGAGGAGACTAGCACATCTGAAGGGAGAACTAGTGGCACTTAAACGACGCCTATCGGGTGAGCTTCAAGGCTGCAGGAGCACAGCGTTGGAGGTGAAGAAGGAGGTGAAGGATGTGGACAGTCGGGTTAGCCAGGTGGAGGGTCAGTGTAGCGGTTTGGGAGAGCTAGCAGAACACTTGGAGCAGATTCGTGAAGAGCTGGAGAGACATTCAGATACATATCTTGCCAAAGTGAATGGGACCCTCACTGTGCATTCAGAGCAACTGGCTGAACTCAAAGACGAGGTCAAAGAGTGTATTGCTAAGGAAGCTGCGAAAGGCCAAAAAGGTGACCAGTAGCATCATCATCAATGCTACAGAAAAAGACTTAAAGTGACTTCCTGTATTGTCATTTCAATCAAAACCAGCACAGATGCAGATTAACTGAAGTATTGACAGATACGCATATGCTTCCTGCCCCAGTCCTCGAGTGCCTCCAGATGTGTGGGGAATTCTGACTAGCCAAGTGGAAAGATCCGGAACACAGAGACACGCCTATATTGTGCATAGTAATGTTTTTATATGGGGCATTTTCTGCTTGTACAAATGTTATGTTTTCATACAATTTCATTTTTTTAACTTATATGAAGTGACTGCATTGTGTTATCATGATTAAGTGACAAATGTAAAAGAAATGTGTAATGTTGATGCGCAAAAAAACTAATACGCTGCTACGGGTCTCTACTGACAAGCACACCAGATCTGTGTGGACACTTTAATAATACTGTACTGTCAACTATGGTGCTATATATGTACATTGTGTATGAATTATAATTGTGTTCCTGCTTTAAAAATGCCTTCCAGGATATGTTGGTATGTACAAGGAATAAATTCTCAGACTATTGTGGTGTTTTTCAAAAAAACAAGTTGAAGTCGTTGTATTTTTCAATAGAAATTCAATAAAGATATGACTTTATATGTGATATGACTTCAGTCTTAAAATGATACAGTATGTTTAAAATTATAGTTATTAAAGGTGCACTATGTAGCTTTTCTGGTGGTGATGTTGTAGTCTGATTCATCAGCCTGTTTCACTTCATAGAAACCGTCTGAACTCGCAGAATTAGAATTCATTCATTGGACGGTAGGCGAGTACTTTATTTCATTTAACCAATCACTGGCGTATGTAATGCGCTGCTAACAGAGCTAACTGGTATATTAAGCTTTTCCCAAATCTCGTAGGAAGAAGGGTAATAAATTGTTTCCCCTTGACAAAATTCACCAAACATTCTATTTGTTCCAGCTTTAAATCCTCAATCTCAGGGAATCGTTGCCAACACAGAATGTATGGCTCTTTGCTGACTGACTGGTGCCCAAACTCACACTTCCAGGGTTTTTGCAAACCATCTAGTGTATCCTGATTCCTGACCTAGTTGCTGGAGAGAAATAAAATTGAGCGGAGGTGAGGTTGACATCTGCATGGAGATGTTATTGTTAACGCACATGATCATTAAATTACAGTTGTAAAAAAAAAAAAAAAAAAAGTTTGTATGCAACCTGTCACCTGGTTCGATGCCTTCACCTGCTTCTCTAAGGAGATAAGTTTAATGCCATCCTGTGGAACATTCTAGCATAACATGTCAACGGAGATAAACAGGTGGTAGACCCTCATCTAGAAAAAATACATAGTGCACCTTTAAGGCAAAGACATCTTATCAACATTTCAACAGTTACAAGTGCCTGGTAAACACTGTGATTTATATGCCCAGATTACAAGCAGAAAAGTGTTCCAAAATTACCACAACATTGCCAACATTGCCAGTTACAAGGTAAAAGAATAACCTTTTACCTTGTAACTGGCAAGGCCTTTCACAATGTAACAATGTGTGGCATCCCCACTACTGTCTGATAGAGCAGGCTCTAGTGTCACAGCTCAAATATGTACGGCATCTGTCCAAGATAAGAGGTCCTTGTGACAATGCACATTTGTTAAAATAAATCAGCAAAACCTCACACAGTGTTCTTTTATGGCCAGGTGTGTGTGTGTTTTCTATTGATTCAAGCTACTGATAAAATACTCTATGTACAAACTGCTTATGTTGCAATGTTGTTTCCTCATCACAAAATACATCGAGATGTATTTTGTTTCTTTCACTCACTCATGTTTAACACACAGATCCTGCATATTTTAAGGTCTCTCAAACAGAAAACACTGTTCCACCTTGTGATGTCATGTGGTAATTCAAAACTGGCTCCACTGTGTTTTTATTCCATACACCTTCACAAGAATCATTTGGATAATTACAACACTGGAATCACCCATCTCTACTGAACTGAAGGTTAAAAAAAAAAAAAAAAAAGTACCTGTTAACTTTAAAACTACCACTTCATGACATCACAAGGTGGAACAGAGCATTTTGAGCTTTGGATATGTATACAGACTAATAAACTAGGATTACTTAAACGTGTGAATGAAACAAAACACAACTCCAGATATATATTTGATGAGGTAACAGCATTACAACATGGCTTAAAGCTCACAAGAATCCACTTTGTGTAATACAGGACCTTTAATATCTGACTTATGTATATGGGTTTTACACATTAGTTTATTGTTATGTATTTTAAACATATTTTAGGCTGACAGAACTTTAATAGACCAAAACACAAGCTCAGTTTAGTACAAGCTTATGCCTTTACTCCTCCCATTCCACAAGATTCATCTCACAGTTGTTCCATTCTCTCTTTCCCTGTATCCCACCTTTGACCTCTGACCCCTTCATCCGCTCAATACTCTCGCACTGCCAGGATTTTTTTATTGTTATTATTTTTATACCTTGCCTCTGGTTTTCATTATGCTGTGACTGCTCCATCCTGCTCTGGCTCTTCCAGTAGGAGATGTTGTGTTTAAAGAATAAGAGCATAGCCTGTAGTCTGATGTTGTCCAGAAATCCAGGTTTGTATGGCAAGTCTAACCTCATTTTATGGCTCATTTTAGTCAGCTTCATTTATCAGGTACCTTTGACTCAATGAAATGCATCTGAAATACTAGGCCAAGTTACAGGTCAGATGAGGCAACCTGCTTCCAAAGAGAATACATGTTTTTCAAGAGCAATAAAGACACCTGTAATGGTATGTTTGTTTGTCTACATGGAGACAAACAGGTGGAGGACCCTCTACAAGAAAAGTTGCATAACAACACTAACACTTTACTTTTCTTTTTTAAAATGTATTATATAGGGAATTAATGAATGAGTTAATGATGTTTTGCTAAGTAGTATTTCCAGTACTGTCAGTTCCAGTTTTACAAACATTTCCAGTACTATTAGTAGCAGCAGCAGTAGTAGTAGTAATAATAATAATAGTAGTAGTAGTAGTAGTAGTAGTAGTAGTAGTACAAGTAGTAATAGTAGCAACAGCAGCAGTAGCAGTAGTAACTGCAGTATTACTAGTAGCACTAGTAGTAGTAGTAGTAGTAGTAGTAGAAGTAGTAGCAGCAGCAGCAAAAAAAGAAAAACATTCTTAAACAACACCAATTAAACACCAATTAAACATTATGAGCAAGTACTTTCTCATGAGACCACTTGAACTACAAAAAATCCATGACAACCACACCTATGTCAATAAAATAAAATAAAACTGTTGTTAAACAGTTGGGTCTCCTCCTTGACAAAAATGCTTACGTCAACAGAGCATAGTTCTTATTCCCACAGCCAATATGGTGCGAGGCATATTAATAATGATACATTTCTGGATCCTATTACACACTGACAGGAAATTAATCAGAGAGGGATGTCGCTGTCTAAACTATGTGCTGATATTGGCTGAAATCTGCAGATAGAGCAACCTGGCTTTGAGTTCAGTTGTAATTTAAAAATGTGTTTACTGTATCAAACCTGGAGACAGTGAGAAAGAAATGTAGCCTTTTGCAAACCTGCACTTATAAATCATTATTTGGGTTTGACCAAAAGGAGAATCCAAAATGCAGTACGATTTAGGGCGTTTGATCCTAATTTGTTCCAGGGTTTTAATCATCATAATCAAATTATTCTAGTGAAGATGCATGCAGTTTAAAAACACAGTGGAGCACTTCCTGTATTACAACATGACATCATAAGGTGGAACAGAGTGATTTCCGTTTGAGAGAAGAACTGAGCTTAAATCTGCAATTGGTTTTGTCTAGTCCTTATTTAGTTTTAGTTCTGAATGTGATGAATGTGCACAGCCCCGTGTGTGTGTGAGTCTGAAAGTGGCCAGTGCACAAGCTGATGGGAGTGAGAAGTGAAGAAGAGCAGAACAGACAGAGCTGCAAACAACAATGAGAGTCAACAAGGACATGTGAAGTGGAAGCTTGTATGGACAGGAGTCACAACATGCTGCTCATGACTGGAGCTCTGATGCTAGACCACTTTGCTGAGAAAGACGATAAATAATAACAAATAGAAAATACACCATTGATGATCACATCACCATGACACATGTTAAAGACATATGTCATGGTGATCATGTGCACTATTTAACTCTTCTGTGCATCTGAACCAGAAGCTCCTGAAACTTTACTTCTACATGGGGATGTTGATGACATCAGCTGCAAAATATCAACTCTTAAGAGGCTTGGGCTGCTGCACCTTTGACACATTAAAAGATCAGATGAATGTCATAAAACAGGAACAAGAAGTTAACACAGAGATAGGTGTGCACTGATCACCTATAAATAAAGTTAATAGTCTACATTGTTGGTCTGGAGCCAGAGAGGGAATCAGAACAGCCTGCAATTACCACCAAGGCACAACAATAAAGGATAAAATGGACAGGTGCATGTGACAGTGAGGCTAACTGGCATCATGACGCTGAGCCTGATGGACTGACAGCCACACCACAGGAGCTTCTGCAAGAGTGCAACAGACACAGGTTTGACTGCAGTGAATCACAGGGCTCTTGAGGTCTGTGGCACTGTACACAGAGGGGAGGAACACACAGCAAGACCTGGAAGCATGTGAGGTCAGAGGTCAGAGAGTGAAAGGCTTTTTCTTCTGTGGAGTTTAAAAGTATGGGCGTGAGGCAAGAGAGAGTGTTGTGTATAACTTTTGCTGTTGCTGTGTATAATGTTTATCAGGCCTGTCAACAGAAATTTGGGGGCCAATTTTATTTTATTTTTTATTTTTTTTGAAATATCTAGGGAAATTCTGTGATTGGTGGGACTCAAAAAAACAAAAACATATTCTTCAAGCAAGCCCTTCAAACCCTGATTTGTGATAGATTAACAATTTTGATGCAGATCCGTTTAGATATTAATTTCCATTGTGTAATTTTCCGAACATGTATTAATACCATGTAATACCACAATACAAACACTAGATTTCAGACCAGACATCATATTATGTCTTTATTTCTATGGCTACATTTACGTAGTTGAAACCAGACAAACATGAGAGAAGCCCTCAGGCCGGTCAGGTGCCTGTACTGTGATATCCCATGGGAGACATCACAACACAAAGGATTGGCCTATTGTCAACCTGAAGTCAACATGTGTATGAACAAAACAACGGATGTGTGTATATGCGTGCGTGCGTGTGTGTGTGTTGCATACGTGTGTTTGTGTGTGTTTGTGTGTGTAAGCAGGGGCACAGCTGTCTTCATGCTGTAACACTGAGCTCCTCTTTACACCTGACAGACCATGACAAACAGTTACATAACAGCCTGTGATGTGAATGCATATTACATTTGCACACATATAGAAACTCAGGGGATCCCGTGAGGCACTATTGTCCTATATTCTTCAGACCTCTGATTGAAGCTGATAGGAGAGAGCCCTGAATGCATGATGTCAGCACACATATCATAGAGAACCAAGAGGAAAGCTAAAAACTGCAGCAGGCTAAAGGGCATTTCTGGCTGGTTGAATCTCAGAGCTGAGCTAGTGTGTTTGGAGGAAGGACACAGGCGGATACGTAGGCCTGTTTTCACTGCGTCACTGCACAAGAATTAGCAAATATAATGAATACACAGGCATGATCTTTATTATTCAACCGTAACAAGGAATTGAATCTGATCAAAATGATTACTTGATTACATTTCTGTTCACCAGCACACATACTGATTTATGTATGCATGTAGGTAGACTTCAAGGTCCTACATTATCAAAACTTTTATCCATGCTAGAATGTTGTCCTCAAAAACATATCTCAAGTTGTGTTTTGTTTTATTCACACATGTTTATTATTAGTCAGTCTACATTGCCAGAGCTCAAAATGCTGTTCCACCTTGTGATATCATCAAGTGGTAGTTTTCAAGTTAACAGCTCCGTTTACATTTTGCTCTGTAGAAATTGTCAGTTCCAGGGCTGAAATCAGTCAAAAGATTCTAGTGAAGGCATGGAGTTTAAAAAAACAGTGGAGAACTTCCTGTATTATCACATGACATCACAAGGTGGAACACAAGGTAGTGTTTTCTATCTAAGAGAAGAGTAATCATGTAAGCAGTGTGTCTCTCAGTATGGAAATTTGTAGAAATGGATTGTAAGGTTCACAGATTGATGGAATTTTCCTTCTTACTGCATAGTGATGACTAAAAGGATTTTCCAACTGTCACATGACCACATCATTTTATCTCTGAGTTTTGTTTTAACTCAAATATAGAAGAAAAAATGAGTAGGTTTAGTGTCAGATGGTTTTCTGGGTACCACCATATCCCTCTCTCAATTTATCCAGTCAAAAAAATCACATACTCATAGGTTACATTCTGAGGCATGTACAGTTATAGTTTCATACATAGT